CCCACAGGAAGTACCACATCTTGTGTGACAAGCCCTCAAGCCCAATTTTCGGTCTGTGACCAGGTACCCAGGCCTTTTTAGAGAGGGTGGAGCCCCTCCGGATGCCAGCCTTGAGGAAGAGATTCCTCCGGAGGACACTGACCACGTAGCCTTCAGAAGCCTACCGGCCTCTTCTTTCTACAAGCCCACCTCTAGTGTCCCACTGTTGGACAATCCGGTTTTCGGGCCACAAGCCAGGCCTTCTCACACCTGACTGGTCCAGGACCAGTTGGCACCTGAAGCCCGATGGCCCAACCTTCCCTCCCCCACTTCTCTTTCAGGTTTTGTCCATTGCTTAACCAATGGGGCACCTGTTCCCAGCCTACCCATGTGGAGCAGGGTTTGGAGAGGAAAGGGCTACATCAAGTGAGCTTGGAGGAGGTGCTGGAAGGTGTGAGGCAGGGCAAATTCCTGGGCCACGTGGCCCTTAAAGGACATTCACTCTCTGTGTGTCATTCTTCTTGCACTGTAACACAATGACACAAGTTGTAAGTATTTATTTTTTTCCTGGTGCTTTATTTTGGTTGAGGTTTTGGTTTTTTTTGTTTTTTTTTTTTTCTAAGTCAATCAAAGATGGCACAACTAGTCAAGGAGGAATCCAACATTTTGACCCTCTGCCCACCCCACCCTTGCATCCCCAGCACACCCAGCGCACATTTATCTGCAGAAGCTACAGCCAAGATGCAGGCCTAGGATTGGGTCTTTATCTAGAAACAGAACATCCGTGTCCTCAAGCAGCAGCCTCAACCAAGTCCTATTCCTCCTGTGCTCAGCACCAGAAAGAAACTCAGCATGCTGACAACAGGACAGCCTGGGACCTGGCCCCGCACACCTGTCATGGGTACAGCAGTCAAGAGGACAAGGATGGCTCTGAGTTTGGAAGAGCCAATTCTCTGCTCTTTCTAAGTTCACTTCTACCAGGTACCACCCTGACTTCCCCAGGTAAAACCCATCCAGTCAAGCCCCTTGGGAAATCCTCGGTAAGCTCCCATGAGATGGCCCAGCCACCTAGAAAACAGTGTGAATGAGGTGGCCTGCCTTCCTGAGATCCTGCATTGGGATCCGGGTCTTATCCACAGCCATTTCATTCACCTGCCAGGGCCACTCTGTTTCAACAGCTACTCACTCAACAAGTATTGATTAGGTGTCTCATCGTGAAAAGCCCCAGGGCTGACACCTGTGGGAATACAGTCACCCAGAACCTCCAAGACTTCAGAGAGAGAGGAGGAGAATATAATTGAACAGCAGGACCGCCTCCTCACACCAAAAGTTAAAACTACATCAGCTAGTTTTTACAAATACAGAGCCCCCCCACCCCAAGCTGAAAGGGCATGGCCCAAGGTCACAGTGAAAGAGGCTAGATCCAGGACCTGACCCCAAGTACATATGCTCTTTAGCCTGCTTGACACCTATGCAGTATGCTCACGGGTGTGGCAAGAGCTCTGTGAGAGAACACAGAGAGGCCTTTGGTCATCGTGAAGAGAACGGTCTTGGGAAATAAAAAGACGACTTCAGACCTCAGCCTGGAAGTCAGGAAGGCGATCCGAGCTATACCTCCTCATAGCCACATTTTGCATTTGGAGGTATGAGGACCAGCCAAGAAAACCCTGCCCCAAAGCAATCTTTGGAGAAGGGATAAGCACAGTCACCCCACCCCCTTTGGCTCCTTGAGTCATGCCTCCTGCCTGCTCAAGCTTCTACCTGCATCCACCTCCACCAAGGAAGCAGCTCCTACCATTTCATAGGAATCATTTCATAGGAATTGGTAGGAGCTGGAAGGAGGGGGAGGCTCAGTAGGGCAGAAACGCATCAGGTTCTATCTTCAGTGTCCCATTTCCAACACCTAGAACTCAGCCTGGCTCAGTCAGTGCTCACAAAGCATTTGTGGAACTGTATCTAGAAAAAGCTCAGAGCTGTGATTCAGTCACTAAGGGGCTTTCTACACAAGCATTAGTTACCTAAATTCAATCTTTAGCACCCACATAAAAAGTTGGGTACAGTAGCACATGCCTGTAACGGCAGGAGCTCCAGGTTCAGTGAGAGGAACCCTGTTTTCAAAAACAAAGTGGAGAGTTGGCCAGGTGTGGAGACTAGGACATGTGGTATCTCTGTGAGTGGAAAGCCAGCCTGTTCTACATTGCAGAGTTCCAGGTCAGCCAGGGCAGGACATAGAGAGACCCTATCTCAATAAATAAAGTGAAGAGTGACTTAGGAAGACGACAGACACCAACCTCTAGCCACCACATAGGCATACCCACACAAACACCACACATAGAGAGCTAAGAAGTAAATGACTTGACCACGGTCTCACCAACAGCCATGCTGCACCAAGGCTAAAAGCAGGCTGTCTTCTGCCTTTTGTACCATGACCTTTGACCCCAACTGCTCGTGACACTTCATTTCTCCCCTGCCTCCTTCAGCCCTGCTCGCTTGTGAGCAACGGTCCCATTTAACATCCTCCCCATTTCCGGTCAGTAGGAAGAATAGTAAAATCTACTAGGTGCTGCTTTGCCTTAAGAAACATCCCTCTGTATATCCCTGTCACTCCACTGAGAACTAGGCAGGACTAAAATTCTGCAGTCCAGGGAACTGAAGCTCACAAAAGGCAACACGGAGAATGAATGGCTAGGGCCACAACCTCGGACCAGGTTTTCCAAGTGAAGAGCAGAGAGCCCTCTGCCAGGTTCCCACTACCAACCCAAGCAGATGTGGATTCCCAGACACCAAAACCCTCTGACTGGGGAAGCCAGCTCTTCCATCCTTTCTTCCCATCCCTCCTCCAGCTGCCTCCCAATCCACCACACACCAGCCCCCACCCAGCCCTGGCTACTTCTCTCTTACCCTGGTTTACTCATCCTCTCATGTGTCTAGCTCAGAGTTGCTGGGATCTACGAGATATAACAGGTACCATTTGGCACACATTAGCCAACATCAACCTACCTATATTACATTATGATCAGAGATGACCAAATTCCCCTTGTTCCCACAAGGTCAGCGTTCTGGGACTCTATCATTTTCTCTCCTACCTCACTGAATATGCTCATTCAGCCATTTATTCTTTAATACTCAGTGAACATATAGGCCCAAGCGTCTGGATGCCAGAAACTGAGTCCCACAGCCCTTACTGGGCCTGGCTCTTCAACAGCTCCATGGTGCTGTTGAACTCCTGGAAGGGACTTCTGTTCTCCATGGAAGATCCCAAGATTTCCACCATTCTGATCCCACCCCTCCTGTCCATGTTGAGAAAGTTTTTGGATTTTTTTTGTTTTGTTTTGCTTTTTGTTTCTTTTTTTTTTGAAAGAGAAACGAGCAGGGGAGGGGGATCCCTTGTCCTCCCTGGGAGTCTCCAAATTGCTCACCCAGTTTTCTCCTCCACCAACAGTCCCAGGAAATAAACTAAAGTGATCGAAGCAGGGAAAGACCCTCAGCTCCGGGAGAGGGGGAGGGGGCTGACAGGAAGAGGGCGGTGTCTTTAAACTACCAATACATTACAAAGAATCAGTTCAAAGCCAAAGGACTCTCTTAAGAGTCCATGTTGCTGTAAGAGACAGGGGCAGGGCCCCAGGTCGCCTGTTTAAGGAAGCCCATTGTGGTGTGGTTTAAATTACCCCTGCTTGTCTGAAGTGAGTAAAAGGGCACCGTTTCAGGGCTTAGGATTCCTGAGTGAGCTAATACAGGATGCCTTTAGCCGAAGGAGAAAAAAAAAAAAGAAAAAGAAAAAACTTCAGTCGGCTCTCTAAACTCCCCCCCTTTTAAGTTTAAAAAAGGGAATGAATGTTACCATTTTTGGACATGAGCATTCTCCCTCAAGCCCAGCCCTAACCGCACTATCCAGAGGGACGCGCCATCCTGCCCCCCCATACCCAGATCACGAAGGCGGGGGGGGGGGGAGTATGAAATGGGGAGGGATTGGACAGGAATGGGGGGGTTCGGGGTACGTGGCTGCCTAGGGAAAAGGCTCGCTTTGCAGGCAGGAAGCCGCGGCAGGGTTAATGCACACACACACACACACACACACGAGTGGTTTCTGATGACTTCCTGCCACTAGCCAGAACCCATCACCAATTCCCCAGCCCAGACGGGGCAGCAAACCTGGACCTCGCTGATGGCTTTTAGGATACAGCGAGTGGCTAAGCAGGGATCCTCAAAGGAAAAACCCAAATATCTCCTGGGACGGTCCCTGACCCCTGAGCCCTTCAACTACAGCCAAGCTACCCAAACTCGCGTTTCACCAGGAAAAGAGCGAGCCGGTGGAGCAGAACACAGATGCAAGGCTTGCAGATACCAGCTCACTGAGTTAAGCAATAAAACGGTTCACCGTCCTGACCCCGCCCCCACAGGGCCCCGGGAGCCCGCGAACAGCCCCCGATTTTCTCGGCCCCAGCCGCACTCCAGCACGTCCACTTCCAGGTAGATACCGAAGCGGCCGCCAAACCCTCCGGCACCCGCTCCGATGCCTGCCGACCCGGCTAGGGACGCAGAGTGCCGGGCACCTTGCCCCTACTGTACAGAGCCCCAGGGGCGGCCCAGGAAGAGCGCTGCCACCGCACGCCATATGGAGGCGCCAGGAAGAAGGGAAGGAAGGGGAAAATCGATCCCGAGTAAGCAGCCATGGAGCCCAAGTCTCAGCCCCAGCCTCTTGAGCACCGCCCCCACGCCCTGCCCACGCCGGCATGGTTTCGGCAGCAGCGGGGTGGCCTGGACCACCCGCCCCGAGGCGACCTGCCCGCCGGCGGGGCCACCTCCCCGCGCAGGGGCTCGCGGTTCGCGGGCTACAGGGCAGGGTTGCTCCCCTCTTCCGCCCGGTGCCTGTAACCCAATACCCCAGCTCGCAGTGGCCGCGCTGTCCCCGCCTCCGCTCTTGCGCGCCGGGAACTGGTTTCCAGTCGGGAGCCCAGGAGTGCGGCGGGCAGAGCGGATTTGGGACTCGGGGATGCGGCGGGTGGGGGGTAGCTGCTAACCTTCCTCTGCTGCTTCTCCCAGGCCGGATCCAGGAGCAGGTCCCGGTCCCAGTCCTCTTCGGGCTGCATGTAGTCGTTGGTCTGCTGGGAATCATAATGGTCCATGATGGTGCGCGCGTGCTAGGGGCTGGATTTTTTTTTTTTCCTCCACCTTCTCTCCAGGCGACGGCAGCTGCTGCCCGGGTGTGGGAAGGGAGTCAGCAGGGTTGGGCTGGGCTGGGCTGGCGGGGCCGGGCGCGATCGCTCCCCTGCGCCCGCTTCCGCCGCGGCTCTGCTAGCGGAGGCTGCTGCTGATGGTGGCGGCGGCTGGAGCTCGCGGACTGCCTTCCTGGGGCGCGCGCTCCGACCTAATCTCCACGCACACTGTGCTCAGTGAACACTCGCGCTGCCGGAGCCGAGGCGGGCGGGGGCGGGGAGAAGGGGCAGAGCCCTCCCGAGGTTCTCCATTGGCCAGGCCGAGTTGCCCAAACTTCCCCCCAGCGCCTCTCATTGGGAATTCCTGGCATCCGTCAGGCGGGTCCCTGTGCATATAGGTGGACTGGGCGGCCCCCTCTGGGCGCGCACGCCACCGCCCACTCTCTGGGTTCCCACTCCCCCGCAGCTCATGTGACACCACCTTAAGCTGAACGGGAGTGGAGCCTGGGGACGCCTCCCGGAGCTCGGGGACCAAATAGCACTGCGTTCAGCAGCCGCGCGAGTCGTCGAGGATTGGCCCAGTTCCCTGCCGGCGGGAAGGCCTGGAACTTGGGCGCACCGGTGTTCCTGTGGTCCCAAGCGAGCTCCAAACCCCGGTCCTGCAAGGGAAAACCCGAGGAATATTTCGTTTTCTCTTTCTGGGGGAACCTGGGCCGGGACAAGTCCGTACCCTGGAAAGAGGAGGGGAGGGCCTACAGTAAAAAGGAATTTCCTGATTCCACCACCACCCCCGCCCGCCCGCCCGCCCCAAACTGATCCCTGTCTGGAGCTAGGTTTGTGACCAGCACACGGTTCTCAGGCCACTGAGCGTCCCCACCTCGTCAAGGAACCTTTGGGTACTTCTCTAGGGCTCGGGGCACTGGCCCGCTGCGGGCTTCATGAGTGGCAGGTGGGCTGCCTAGCTTCCCAGGCTCTCTGTAGGTATGCCCAGGTGGACTGACACAACTGAAGCTATCTTCTTCTCCAGCTTTCCTACACTTTCCTGAAAACTAGGAAGGGCCCTGGAATGACCTACCTATACCACGAATCCTTCCAAATACATACACCTGACGTATGTGAAAACTGAGATTCAAGAGCTGAGCTGGGCGAGAGACTTAGCATATCATGGACTCTACAGGTCAATTCTGTATCTACCCTTGTGCCTGACAAAACCTTACTGTCCTTGGAGGAGGAAGAAATAGTGCAAGAAACAACTAAACTACTTGGTGCCTGCTGCTGCTCTCTGGGCTCAGCAAAGGGGGTGGAAATTTCTTGGTCCAGTAGCGTTGCATCCTGGGAAGAGGCTGCCGGCTTCCTGGTGGTCTCCTGAGGGATGGATGCTGAGTATGAAAAGCAGTAGCCAGTAAGCCTGCTGTTTGGTTGTGCGCTCTGATGTGGACAAGAGATACGCCCTTCTTGCATCAGTAGGGCTTTATTTATACAGTCGTCCCTTAATATTCAGGGGAACTGATTCCAGGACCACTGCAGATACCAAAAATCTGCAAATGCTTAAATCACATGTATATAATGGCACAAGATGGATATGTAACCTACATACACTCACTGTACATTTTAAATCATTCCGGGATAGAAATGACATGTGACTACTCATACTGTTGAGGAAATCCTGACAGGAAAAAGAAGTCTACACAGTCAGCTCCCCCACACACACCCTTGGGAGACTTTTAATCTGTGGTTCAATCCAAGATTCTAACTTGTAAAAATGGAGGCCAAGTTGTATTTGTAGGACGACTGGTTGTTAATCTTGAAGCCAGAATAGTCTATCATGTTACACAGTGATGTTTACTGACAGGAAGAGTTCTGAATAGAATACTTAAAAGCCCACAACGGTCAGAGTGGGAGTGGGGTAAAAAGCCTGCCTGTGGTAGGCAGAGGACACTGTGATGCCAGTAGAAGCAGATATCAGCAGTGTTAGTCCTCGAGTCATTAGTCAGCCACACGTTCATGCCAGTGTTAACCATCAGCACTGTGCCTGTCCTCTCTAAGGAAACAACAGGAGATTTATGAACTATTTCATAAGCCTTTCTAAACTATGATTCTAAACCTAACATAGAAGGCAATGATGATGCCATATCTGTTCATTCACTCAATAAATTTTTTTTCTGAATACCTTCTGTGTGTCGGGGAACATGCTAGACATCATGTATATAATAAAGATGAAAAAAATCCACAATCCCTTCCCCACACAGCCTGTCAGAGACAAACTTGGAAGCAAAGATGTGACTGAATGAGACAGAAGCAGGGGTCTGTCTGGTGCCGTTCTGCAGAACCCTGGGGAGCCCTGAGCTGCATGGGGAAGAAGGGTCCAGGTAGAAATTGCCTAAGCTCTAGGGAATAAGACTCAGATGAGTGTGGGATATTATTCCAGGGAGAGGGACGGGGTAGTCAGCACAAAGGGCACAGGAGACTCCATGGCATACGGCTGGATGTCTACCATCTCAAGGTGGCTAGACTGGAGCTATTAGGGGAATGAGGCTGGAGAGGAGCCTCCAGTGTACCCTGTGAAGTGAAGTCAGAGGGAAACAAACAGCTGGCTGCACGCTGCAAGACCAGGTGCAGAAATCTAGAGTGTAACAGGAAAGATGAGGATAGATGCAATACTTGGGGACAAAAGGGAGTTTGGCTATCAAGAGGAGAGAGTGTTTCGGGACAATGGAACAGACCATGAGGTTTACCTGGAATAAATATTTCAGTTCCACCTAACAGAAAATAGACCAAAGCCCAGAGAGAGGTGGAAATTCCTCCAACTCAAATGTGATACCTAGAGGCATTCCTGTAATCTAGTGACTTTCAACTCTAGTTTTTTTTTTTTTTTTTGATGTTGTTTTTTGGGTTTTTTGTGGGGGGTTGTTTGTTGTTTTTCAAGACAGGGTTTCTCTATGTAGTTCCAGGCTGTCCTGGAACTCATTTTGTAGATAAGGCTTGGCTTGAACTCACAGAGATCCACCTGCCTCTGCCTCTGCCTCCCAAGTGTATCACCACAGCCTGGCTATAACCCATTCTTAAGCTGGTGTCTTTGGACTTCCATGTTCCTGCCCCTAGAACTTCCTGCCACCCCTCAATCTTTCTCTCCCTTACATCTTCAGCCCTCTCCTCCAAATTGGATCCATCTTTCAGACTACAAGTAACTCAAGTTTCTATTTTAAAGAAATCTTCCTTTGACTACCGCCCCTCCCTCGCTCCATTGCCACTGCTTCTTTCTTCTGTTTATGATCTTAATTGGTTCACCACTGAGTGCCTCTTAAACTCACAGTTATGACCACGCCACTGAAAGGGCAGACAAGGGAATTTTCAGCTGTGAGAGCCACAGACCATTATTTTAGGCCTTGTGCCCAGGCTTCTCAGGTATCTGATGTGACCCATTTTCCTCACCTTGAAAAGCCAT